GGTAGGGCCGCTCCACGTTGCCGATGGCGTACCAGATGCAGGCCAGCCAGTGCGCGATGAGGGCGAAGATGCACATGAGCAGGAAGAGCACGGCTGCCCCGTACTCTGAGTAGCGGTCCAGCTTCCTGGCCACGCGCACCAGCCGCAGCAGCCGAGCCGTCTTCAGCAGCCCAATCAGGGTGGTGGTCTGGAGGAGCAGGGAGGGGGCCATGGGACTAGCGGTCAGCCCTTGAAAGTCTGCGCTCAGGACCGCATTTGTTTCCCCGTGCATACGGTCCCATAGTCATTCAACCAACACTCTTGAAAAACCTGCTCGGGGCCAGGCTCTTGGCAGTGGGGCACAGAGCGGGACCTTAAGGAGCTCAAAGGCAGCATTACAGTTACTAGGACAGAAATCTAGGGAGAGCACAGAGGAAGGAGAGGTCAAGGCTGCAGGAGCAGAGCAGGGAGGCTACACAGATAAGGTGACACATGAGCCGAGTCTTGAGGGATGAGGCCAGGCCACCAGGCAGATAGGAGGGAGAGGGCACTCCAGGCTCAGGAAGCAGCAAGAGCAAAGGCCTACAAGTGTGAAATGGCACCGCCCACGTGGGGAACCAAGCGTGGAGCTTATGAGGAAGATGGCAGAGGATTGAGAAATGAGCCTGGAAGGTGGGCAAGGGCTGTTTCTGTGGGCCCCGCAGTCCCAGAGGGAGATTGGCTTTTATCCCAAGCCGCTGGGTGGCCACTTAAGGCTCCGAGGACAGGGCCAGATAAGTAACGGGGTCATCTGAGTGATCTGAAACCCTCTCCGGCTTCTTGGTGGAAGGTGTACGGCTGGCAGGCGTGGGGCTGGGGCAGACATGGGTGAGAAAGCCACTCAGTGTCCAAGCGGGGGCTGTGGGTAGAGAGGAGGGGAGAGGGTTTGGGGGAAGATTTTCCTGGGAATGGGTGGGCATGGGGGCAGGGAGTCATGAGGGACAGCCCCTGCTGCACAGGCTGGGGTGATTGGGGGGTGGGGTGACCGGAACACAAGAGGCAGAGCTCATTGGAGTGGAAAACTGATCCCAAAGAGGTGGGAGAAAGGACATGGTGGGACTAGCAGCTCTAAGAAAAGCATGAAAATGCCCTCACCTCAGCTGTGGGAAGTGGCACGGGGTTCAGGATTCAGGGGTGAGAAGGGGTCAGCCTGTAGTAAGGAGCAGCTTGCATAGTCCCTTTGTAACTCCAAGGTGAGTGCGGTTTAGAAGTCAGCATGAGAACCTGGGACTAAAACATGCCCACCCCAGAAAGGGGCAGAGTTGTGGGGCACAGGGAGGCCACCCAGGACTGGGGCGCAGCCTTGGTGGTCCTTTTTCCAGGGCTGGGAGGTGACAGGAGATGTCGGCCCCCTTCCCCCCTGCACGTGCTTTGGCAAAGGTGCCCAGTGCCGGGTGCTCTCTGGGAGGCCCCAGGGCTGCAGGTTTGCTCACCTCGTCAGAGCCCGTGCGGAAGATGAGCAGGTCGAAGGGGATGGCGGCCACCATGTCGATGAGGAACCAGCCCTTGAAGTAGTGGACGGCGATGCGGCGGGGGTGGCTGACCACCTCGTCGTTGGCGTTGACGTAGGTGGTGCGGAAGTTGATGACGATGTCCACGACGAACATGATGTCCACGATGAGGTCCACCACGGTGAGCGGGCTGCAGGTGTAGCCGCAGTCCCCGCGCCGGGACCCGTCCTGGTCGCTGAGCAGGAAGGCGGCCGAGTAGGGCGTGAAGACGGCCGTGTAGATGACCAGCAGCAGGATGAGCCAGTCCCACACGGCCTTGAAGGGGCTGTAGTGCAGCAGGGTCCCGCGGTGGATGCGCGGCGCCTGCAGCTTGTACTCCGGCAGCACGTCTGCTCCCAGGGACAGGACCTGGGGCGGGGGCCACGGGGTGGTCAGTGGGGGCGGCTGCTGCTGGTGAGATGGGTCTGGGGACGGTGGAAATGTGGGGGTGACGCCTGAGAAGGAAGGCCCTGTGGAGCCTGGACCAGGGAAGGCCTTCCCTGAGGCCAGCTCCTTCCGTGGAAAGAGCCAAATTTCAGGTGTGGGGCCTGGACAGGTCCTGAGTACCAGGCGACCTTGACTCCGTCTTATAAATCCTAGGTGGGGGCTGATTATTACATGCAGCTGAGCCCTCTCCGCTCCGCCCCTCCCACCCTCCAGGCCCAGCAAAGCCCAGTGTGCCTCGCCCTGTGGGCCAAACCTGGGTAACCTTCTCCGTGACATTCTGGGTCCGCTCCACCACCTTGTGGGGCGCGATGATCTCGATTTCCGTGGTGGAGCCGGAGCGGTGCTTCTCCAGGTTGAACTCCACAAAGTTGAGCGTGAACTGCGGAATCTGGCTGATGGTCCTGTACTTGACCCTGCCCGTGCCAGGCCCCTGCATGCCGGGCCTGCCGTGAGAGCCCTCTGAAAGCAGGGTCAGGGTCAGAGCAGCCAGGGTCAGGGCCCAGCTGCTCTCCTTGGTGCCCCCCCACGCACCCCTCCCTCCGCCACCTGCACCCCTCCTCACCGGAGCCCAGGAAGCTCTGGGACAGCAGGCGCTGGGACAGGCTGCGGCTCCCGCTCTTGGCCAGGAGCTGGGCCAGGTCCTCGAAGTTGAGGATGAACATGATGACGGCCCCATCCTCATTCTTCACGGGCACCACGTCCACCAGGCAGCGGAAACTGGAGGCTGCAAACACCATGGAGGGGGGGGGTCACCGAAGGGGTCCTTTCCTGCAGGGGAAGCTGGGAAGGGGGCTGGGTAAAAGTAAAATTAAGGGCAGCCACAGGGTGAGGAGGCCTCGATGGGAGGGAGGGGGTTTGATGCCACAGGGCAGAGGTGGGGAGAGCAGCTAAGCTGCTGATTATGAGATCATGTAGCATCAGGCCCAAGTCTGTGCTCAGGCCTCTGCTCAGGGCTTAACCTTGAGGTTTGCTTCTGCTGTAATTACAGCGGAGCAGATGGGGGTAGATTAGTGGGAAGGTGGGTTGGGCATTCTGCCCCAGGAAGCTCAGGCTGGCCCTGGGTTCAGCTCCCTTGTTCCCGGCCCACAAAGCCGACACGGGAAGGATCTTATCACTGACTGAGCTAGTTGGCAACAGTCTCCGTGGGGGAGTCGGTTGGGTCTTTGTGGGGAGACAGAGACCCCAAGTCTGCAGATGAGAGCCTGGGTCCTGAAAAACTGACGTGCTGGGGCTGGGAAGAGACATGGAGCAGGGATCCCTGAACTCTCAGTACACAGCAGCTTGGAGAGGGGCGGGGCTTGTCTGGGATGGGGATGCCTGAGTGAAGGCCAGGTGGCTGCTCGGGCCTGGAAGAGCTTCCAGGAAGAGGTGCTGGGACTGGGGTGCGGGCAGGGCAGTGAATGGCCTGGGGTCTGGAGAAGGAGAGAGATGGCAGTCTGGGGACAGGACAGGCCCCTCCTGCCACTCTCTCTACCCTTGTGGGCAGCCCAGCCCCTGGTGTTTGCCTCCCTGTTCCTTATGTTGCTATAGGGTCTTGCTCCCCTGCCTACATAGGTGGATGGAACAGAACAAGCGTGAATGTGAACACATGTGTGTGTTCAGAAGCCCTTACACACACACACACACGCACACACACATGTGTTCACATTCACGCTAAAATTGCCTTTGGGCTGGGTGAGTGGGTGGGCACCCCGTGAGCTTGCTCTCCCTAGTACCTGGTGGTCCTATGTCCCTCAACTCAAACCATTGGGGATGTCAGGCCCAAAGGGCAGGATTCTAAAGGGCAGGGGCCTCAGGCAAACATGCAAGTCAGAAGGCAGAGCTGCCCAGGTCTAGGTCTGTCTCATTTGCCAGCGGCCAGCACCTGTCCTGTCCCAGGTGTTGTTTGTTTATTGAGTGAATATGTAAATGTGAGAGGGTGGGAGGTTGGCTGGCAGGAATATTGCCAGCATCACTGTTCTCCTGGCTCCCCAGTTAGCGCTCACTTCCTTTGGTATCTCCTCACAGCCATCAGCACGGGCTACAGCTGAGCTCTCTCCATCCTCCCTCCCACGTTCCTCCCTGGAAGCAGGAATCTCCTGGATCAGATTCCCAGACTCCCAGGCACCAGGCAGTCATCTGCCAGCTGCTGCACTGGGCCCCAGGGGAGACATCCATACCAAGCAGAGGCCACCCACCTGCCTCTGTGACCCATTCCTGGGGCCTCAGGGCTGTGGGCCTGCCTCTCCGGCCAGGGCCTGGCACTCTTGCCAGCCCAGGGCCTGTGAGTCATGGACACTGAGAGGAAGTCAACATTAGGATGCCCCTCCGCAGGATTGTAAGATGTATGTTAATCTGATATTTAAAGAGGGTCATGTGGTCAGAGTGGACCATAAGGTAAACAAATCAATCAAGAACCACATCCTTCCTTTAGGCTAATGCAGGCTGAGAAGCTCCCTTCTCTGCGCTCCCTTTTTAGGCTGATTTCAGGCAGGTCCAGGTGGTCACAGGCTTGGACTACAGGACAGGAAAGGGCTTGCAGTAGGGGTGGGAGTAGACTGGCATTTGGGACATCAGGTATGCAATTTTCCATTTTCACCTGGGGCCCGCTTTCATGAGTGTACGTGTGAACATGAATATGTGGGTGAGTGCATGCCAGGGTCCCTTCTGACATAGGTGGAGGGTTCCGAAGACCTAAGTTCTAACCTCAGAGGGCCAAAGCCTGGCCTTGACCTCTGCCCCTGCCCAAGTCACATGCAGAGTGCTGAGGAGACCCTAAGAATCTGATCTGACTTCTCCAGGTGTCTAGAATCAGCCCCCACCACTCTGGGGTCCAGGAGAGGGACAAAGAAGAACCTGTTGTTCCCCCTCATCTCCTACTGTCCCGTTCTGGGACCCTTCGCACTCCCCTGACTGTCACCTCCTTCCTGCAATGATATGAGGAGGTGAGATCACAGCTTTTTAAAATATTCTGACTTCATTAACCCCCTGAGCACCGCCACACTAAGCCAGATTCTTCCTAGTCACCTAATCTCTACCTCTGCATTCACTTGAGTGGCAACCACAGGGACAGCCAGAACCTGCCCAAGAAGCACCCTGGAAGCCCTTACACACACACACACACACGCACACAAACATGTGTTCACATTCACGCTTACACCCGTGCTCCACACACACACACACACACACACACACACACACACACACATACACACACCTGGCCCCTGGAACTTAAGCTTCAGCCCTGCCCAGTTCCCATCCAGAGGTGCCTGACCAGTGTCTGCACTCAGACGGCCCTCATGACTCTCTGAGCACAGAGGCAGTTGGGATCCTTTCTCCCCTCTTGGGATTACTCAGAACAGAGACATCTCTAGGAAAGAACCCGAAGACCTGGAATGCAGCCCCATGTTGGATCCCAGCAGCAGGATTCTTGTCAAGTCCCTTCTTTTTCTTAGCCTCAGCTTCTTCATCCAGGAAGTGAAAGAATTTATCTAAGCCAGTGGTTCCCAAACGTAGCAGAACATTGGAACCACCAGGGGGATTTTCCCAAATATACCTGCTTGGGCCTCACCTCACACTTCTGAGTCAGCCTCCCTCTCGGAAAACAAGCCCCAGGTAATGTTGATGTAGAACCAGGTGAGTGTGTTTGTGTGTGTGTGTGTGTAGGGGGGGGGGGGGGGAGTGGGGTAAAGGGGAGGCACCGATCCAAGTAATTTCAAAGGGATTTTTATGATCCTAGTTCTCCCCCATCACCCCTGCCCCACCCCCATGCTTTATGCAATAGAGCTCAGAAGTCCTGGGGAAGAGTTTCAAAGGATGCAGAGGTCTTTATCACCGGGCCCTGCCCTATGCTTCTGGTCTGCTTGCAGTACATTGGGATGCAGTGACATCCCAAACTCAATGAGCCTCTAGGTCAGGCCAATCTCCGGACCTTCTCTTTCCAAGGAGCCCGGGCTGGGCGAGCCAGACCCACCACTCTTTCCCATCCAGCAGCCACCATGCCTTACTTGGCCGCAAAGGCCTTGACTCGTTCCCTAATCCCCAGAGCAGATAGAGATGAGGAAAAGCTAATTTCCATCCCAGTTGCCTGACAGCTGGGGCTGGCAGTGACAGAGTGGGCAGCCAGGAGGCTGGGGCCATGTAGGAGGGGGGGGGGTGAGTGATGGTGGAGAGCGGGAGGCTCTGCCCAGAACTAGGACGAGGCAGTCAGTGGCTCAGCCTGATGTCCTGTTTCTGAAAAGGACCTCTAATGGCATCACATCCAATGCCCATCACTTCCCCACCCAGACGAGGAAACTGAGGCCCAGACAGGAAACAAGATTTATCCGAGCCCTTAGTCCCAGGGTCATGCCCTCCCCATGGCCACTCTGGCAGAACAAGGCAGGGGCCAAGAACCCGTGGCCCGAGGGCACCTCACCGTCCTTGCGGTAGTAGAGGATGTCCACCTTGCACTCCTCGGCCCCCAGCAGGGCCTGTGCCAGGCGGGTCATGGCGCTGCGGGGGGTGTTGGGGCCCGTGAGGAAGTCACAGGTGCACGGCCGCTGCATCACCTCCACTCGCGAGTAGCCAAAGAGCTCACAGAAGCCATCGTTGCAGTAGATGATGGCGCAGTTCTCCATCTGAGCGTTGGCGATCAGGAACTTTCGGCCTGGGGTGGAAGGAAGGAGGTGGGGGGAAACCCATGGCAATGTGTGTCAGGGAGGGACTCTTGGCAGCAGTGAGGGGGTATCTAGATGGGGGAGCAGAGCAGCGACCAGAATGAGGAAAGGAGAGGTCAGGCCTGAGGATGGTGAGAAAACCAAGGAGGCCTGAGTCATGGGGGCGCGGGAGAGTAATGGGGGTGGGGGGGTAGGGTGTCAGAAGCAGGGAGCGGAACAGTGACCTGAGAAGTGGGGGAAGGACAGTCTGTCCTGGGGATTGTGGGAAGACCAGGGCAATAATGGGGTCAGTGAAGTGGGAGGGAGGCCTAAGGCTTCCAGGAGACAGTGGAGAGGGTCAGGAAGAGGGAGCAGGGGTGTGGCCTGGGGGGTCAGATCTGGGGGAGCTCCTAGAAAGACCAGGGGGGGGCGAGGGTCAGACGGTGAAAAGAAGAATGCCAAGGAAACCTCTGGAGGGTGTGTGTGTGTGTGTGTGTGTGTGTGTGTGTGTAGGCAGGGGCGGGTATGGTGTAAAGAGGCAGAAGCTGGGCATTGATAGAATGGGAAGGTCAGGGCTTGGGGGCAAGAAAAAAACGCAGTGGAAGGGGGTAGGGGTGGGGTGGGCTGATCTGACACTCGTGCTCCAGAAGAGAAGAGGACAGACGTTGAGGTAAGTGGGCTGCTGGAGAAGATGGGGTGTGTGGGGGGGCGGACATTAAAGCAAATAATTTTGCTTTCAGCATCCGGTATCCCCCACCCTGCTCCACTCAAAGTTAGCAAAGGAGTCCGACTGCTCCTGCCGCCAAGGCAGCAGAACTCCAGATCGTCCCCCCAGCCCGACGCACGCACTCACTCTGGCCCTCGAACTTGCGGATGATGGTGTCCAGGTACGTATTTTGGGGCGCGACGTGGCCCCTGCGGACCGGCATCTTCTGGCGGCCGAGGCCTCTGCCCGGAGCCACTGGAACCTCGGCTCCCGGTGCCTTCGCCTGTCCTGGCTCTCAGCGGCGCCGCCCCCGAGGAGGGCCGTGGGCCTCGGTGCCCCGCCCGCCCTCCTGCAGCCACGGTAGCCGCCCGCCCTGACCCTTCCCGGCCGGAGGCTCGCCGCGCCTCCGCCCCTCCGCGCCGCCGGGAGCTGTCCGCGCCGCGGTGCTGAAACAAGCCGCGAGGCCGCGGCGGGGGCAACTTCTCCCGGACTCCACGGGGCAAGGGCGGGGCCATGGCTCCTAGGGGGCGGAGCCGGGGGGAGTCCGGCTCCGGGAATGGGGCAGGGCTTCTCTGAGGACCTCACGCTCTTGTTCCAGTGGCCGCAGCCCCTCTAGGAACCTCTCACGACATCAAAAGGCAGTAAGGGAGTTGTCTTGCTGGGGCGAGGCTCTCAGGCAGGGAAAGGCGAGGGCAGAACAGGTTGTTAGAGGCCACAGATGGTCTGGGCCAGATCCTGGCAACGGTGCCGGTTAGATTTCTTGCCTGCCTGTTGCTGTGCCCTCCAACGGATCCCCGATGCCCATGCAGACCTCCTAGTGGCAAGCCCATCTGAGACCCGGCTCTGGGGGAATGGGGTAGGAGCACACCTGAAGGGCACAAGGAATATGCAATTAGGTGCTTTCTTCAGAGGCCAGAGGGCTCTTAGCATCCAGGCGCTGCTTGCAAGGAGAGCAGATTTAAACCCGCCAATTAGCAAGTAACCACTGATAAAAGTGTGTCTGGGTACCGATCGAAAAGGAGTACACTTAGAAGAAGATGGGGTGAGGTTTGTTGAAAGAATCTTCTTAAAAAGGAGGGAGGGGCCGAAACCGGTTTGGCTCAGTGGTAGAGCGTTGGTCTGCGGACTGAAGGGTCCCGGGTTCGATTCCGGTCAAGAGCATGTACCTTGGTTGCGGGCACATCCCCAGTGGTGGTGGGGGTGTGTGTGCAATAGGCAGCTGGTCGATGTTTCTCTCTCATCGACGTTTCTAGCTCTCTATCTCCCTTCGTCTCTGTAAAAAATCAATAAAATATATTTTAAAAAATAAAAAATAAAAAGGAGGGAGGGAAAGGGACCACTGTTCCCTGACCACCTTGGCAGGCTTAGAACTTTGACCAGTTTTGAGGCAGGCCTTGGAGGGCAAGCATTCAAATGGCAAAGGCTGATAATACAATCAGTGCCAAGGGGCTATGAGAGGTGAGGTTGGAGAAAACGGGACTGGTAAAGATCCTCAGATGGCATTTTGAACATCTAGCTTTAATTGATGAACAACCAAATTCTTACATCGTTAGACATGAAGGAAATGTTTCGGTGAAATAAACTACAACAAGTGGGAAAGGGAAGATGGACAAAGAGGCTTAGTGAGGTTTTTGCTGGAATCCAGGTGAGAGGCTTGGAGTCCTGGGATGGTGTGCCTTTGCCACTCAGAGCCACAGTGTCTGATGGGAGACTCAGTGGCTGAGGGATGGGAGAGCTGAAAACGTGCCCTCCTTGCGGGGAGAGGGCAGAGTTGTCTTAGTTGTCTATGTGTGTATGGGGGCGCAGGGTGGATGTGGAGGAAAGGTAGGGCTGTTTTTCATAGGCTCACCTTTTGGGGTGCTGAATTCTGAGGAGGGCTAGGACAGTGGGACACTCATTCACTCACTCATTCAAACATTTTCCAAGTCCCCACTATGTGCCATGGTCGGTGCTGGCTACAAATGTTACAGGGGGGTACAGTCCTGATAGGTGCCCTGCCCCTATAGAGCTGAAAGCTAGTAATGGGGACAAATGAGGACATTACAACTCAGCAACATAGTGACAGAGACATCAAATGAAGGTACTGTGAAGCCTGTTGTTGAGCAAGGAGTGTGAGGATTCAGTCAAAACTTAGGAAGACCTCTTGAAACCTGGGCAGAGGCAGGGTCCATGGAAAACTCAGACCAGCACCTCTGTCCCCCTGAGCCCCTGACTTCTTTAAAAAAAATTATTTTTTAAAATTGATTTCAGAGAGGAAAGGAGAGGGAGAGAGAGAGATAGAAACATCAATGATGAGAGGAAATCATTGATCGACTGCCTCCTGCACTAGAGCCTGCAACCCAGGCATGTGCCCTGACTGGGAATCAAACCGTGTTCTCTGGTTCATAGGTCAGCGCTCAACCACTAAGCCATTCAGGCCAGGCAGCCCCTGACTTCTTAATCTAGAGAAAGCCAGTCTCATCTTTTGGCCACCAGCTCAGCTGAGGTCCTGGTGCCTCCTCTCTGATGCTACTTCCCCCCAAGGCTCCCTAATCTCTGATAGGAACTGGTTCTCAGCCTTCCCAGGAGCCCGTGGGGCCTCATCCAAAGTCAGGTTGTCTCAATAGCAGGCAGACCCAGGCTGGAAAGAAAGAGCTAGAAGGGGCAAGAGCAGAGGCCTTCTTTTTCTCTTCCAGGCTTGTCCCTAGAGTCCCCCAACAGCATTCCTTCCCTGTTGTCCCCTTCTCCATTGAATCTGGAAAGGTGCTGTTTGCCCTGTGCTCAATCCCCAGGGCAACAGACCAGGCAGCAGGTGTGTGTGTCCAACAAGGCCATCTCTGAAACCGAGTGGCTGGAGATGAGCTTTGTTTAAATATTCAAGAAGTCAATCATTAATCAAGCGTGGCTGGATGCCCAGCTACCCACTGGCTCCATTTGGGAGGGCTTGGACTGGGGCAGGGAGGGCCGTGGGCATTTTATAAGGCTACTTACATCTCAGATGGCTGACAAGTAGCTTTGGGGGGCTAGATAATACAGCCAACACAGGGCAGGCTAGAGGATCAACAGAAAGATGTGCTGGCCAGTATACAGAGCCCAGTGCTCATGAACTGGGCGCCAAGGGTTTGTACAGGAATGTCTGATTCTGCAGAAGAGGAGATGGCACAGATAGGGCTACGTATCCTATGGTGCTCAGCAGTGTCTCCCTGCATTGGTCAGGATACAAGATGCCATCCTGTGCTCTGATGCCAGACTGGCATCTAGCTGGACAGCACACAAGGAAGCAACTGGGGCATGTGCTGGGTGTGGGCTACGGGCTTGGCTGAGGCTGCATTAGGTCATGCAACAGCAGGTTTGGGTTAGGGTAGGAGCTGGCGCAGGGCAGGCTAGACCACTGAGAATATGCCTATTTAGAAAATCCTTCAGGGGGAGAGGGGAATAAGAGGTTTGAGTCAAAGCCCAGCTGATGGCCTACGTAGGCAGCATCTGAGATTTGCAAAGGTGGCAATTGGGTATTACCCAGAGCTCTCAACTCTATGATGGCAGCCACAGGCCCCATGGACCAGGTCAAGCCCACCATGGCTGGCTGGCTGAGGCAGGGGGACTTTGGAAATTTGGAATAAGTCCCTTTAGACCCTCCATCCCCAGCAGAACTAGAACAGAGACTGGCTCAGGGTAAATACATTTAGGAAGATGAGTCAAAAATACCAAAATCAAGTTTTAAGATATATTAGGCAAAAGAGCAGCCAAGAATCTTGCCCTGCCCTAGCCAATTTGCTCAATGGATAGAACGTCAACCTGTGGACTGATGGTTCCCAGGTTTGATTCTGATCAAGGGCACATGCCTGGGTTGCGGGCTCAGTCCTTGGTAAGGGGCATGCAGGAGGCAGTTGATCAATGATTTGTTCTCATCATTGATGTTTTTCTCTCTCTCCCTCTCCCTTCCTCTATGAAATAAATTAAAAATATATAAATATATTTAAAAGGTGGCAGTGTTATCTCCATTAAAAAAAAAAAAAGATCTTGCCCTAATTCTTCTCTCATGCAAACATTCACCTACTCCTCCCTCCAGAGCCCATATTCCAATCTGCTATCATCTTTCCTCTTCAAAGCACACATCGTTTTTCTCAGAGACCTCTCCTTTGCCCTCTGCCCAGAAAATGGTGTTTAAAATCCTAAACCTGGAAATCAGAGTCTTCCCTGAGTAGGAGTCTGGATAATCATGCATGAGGACTAGTGAACAGTGGATCAGCAAAGAGTGGCAAGGCCTTTATGTGCCTGGGTGCCTAGTCTGACCCTGGGAGCCTGTGTGCCCTGGGTGGAGTGGAGGAGGGAAGTGGTGAGAAAGATGGAGTCACATGTGCCTCCAATCGAGTGGGATGAAGGCTCAGAATTAAAAGTGAGTTGATGCGTTGAAAACAAATGGCTGCTGCTTTTTGCATTACTGTTTTTGGGAACAGAGATCTCTCTTTGGTCCCCCAGCATCTTTTCACCCTCTTTGCATGTTCACCAAAGCACTTTCCTACTACACCAGCTCCTTTCTCGTATTATGGTTACTGATTTATCCTGTGGCCCATTGCCCCCTGCTGGCTGCCGAGCAGGCTGGTGGGCATATGCACAAGTAAATGTTGGCCGAATGAATGAATGATGGGCAGTCATAGACATGAAGGCAGACAGCAGAGAAGCTCCTTCTGTTCTGTGCATTCAGAACAGAATTCAACCTGGGCAATTGACCGAAATAAACCCCTGGAGTGTGAAAAGATGGAAAAGCAAATAGACTAGGGAAACAATAGGCGAGCAAGGTGCACCCCTGCCTGGGAGTGAAGCCAGGGGCTCAGTCCTGCAGCTCCAGCTGGCCTAGTGGTTACTGACAAACTGCATGGTGGGGGCACAAATGTGCTCATTACATTTACAAAGGATGTGAAATGTGTGGCTTTATTAATCCTCTGGGAGACAGAAATAAAACTCAAGATGACCTTGACCAATTAGGGAAATGGGCTTCTGGAAATCAGTTGAAAATCAATGGGGAAAAGACCATGTCAGTGGTTGGAGCGCTGGTCTTGAAACCGGTAGATCCAGGTTTAACCTCACCAAACCTGTATCCTCTGACTGATGGGAACAGCAGTGGCATGAAATCCCAGTCAGCAGCCAAAACTCTGGTGGAGGCTCCCCTTGCAGGACGGCCCTCGGATACTGCGAGGACTCTCCTCAGCCTCTGAACCAACCCTTGCCTCCCTCTCTCCTGCC